TTCCCTTGATAGAATGGTGGGGGAAGAGGAGGGAGAAGTGTGGACAACATGAAACAGCAACTCAGGTCTAGCAAAAGAGTCAGACGAAATGCTGTCAAAAAGTAAGATGAGAAATTTAACCAGGTTAAATACTGAGAAGTACAGGATATGTTTTTCCTAGTTTTGTAGGATGGAGTTAAGCACCTTTAAATATGCAAAAGATGGGGAACTGGAGCCAGGGAATCTCACTTATAGCACAGTGATGTGTGAAGCAGATAAAAACTGGAGGATTATTACAAATGTTAGGGATCTCAGCACAGGCCTTTCAAGGACATCAGCTCCATGGCTAACGGGGCTTGAAGTGCCAAGGGCTGCCAGAGCAGGGACCCCACAGAGGGCCCTGCCCTCTCCTTGGTACTGAAGGGCAGCACAGCAGCTTATGGCTGGGCATCTCCAGCAAGGAATTTGCAGAATAAAGCTGATCCTGTGTGTCAGGGTTAAGGGCAAGATGATGTATGTGATGGACCTGTGTGTGTTTCACCCCCTTCAGCTGTAGGAGAGGAGAAAACAGAACCCCCCCATCTCTGCAATTCCTGTTTAAGGCTTTCCCAGCTAAGTGGTCCCTTCTGTGGTGCTGACAGTCTCACAAGCCCATCTGTTAATGTCCCTGGTAAGCTCTTGGACTCCTCACAAGGTGCAGTGCGTCTGCAATCCCTCAGAAAATCCAAATGGGAAAGAAATATTACTATCCAAGTCTTGTCCAGCCAATCTTGCCACCAACACAAGGTGTCTGGTGTAACAGAGGTTAGTTTTGGCAGCAGGCAGCAACCCCAGGCTTCACAGCCTGAAACACCTCCTGTTTGGAGCCAGGCAAGACGTTTCCAGTGGGAAACAGTGAAACAGAAGTGTTTCATAGCAAGTAGTTACTTTCGAGGAAGATTTTTTGATGGAACAACAAATGTTTAACTTCACGTGCAGTTAAATAACAAAAGGCTTTGAGCATACCACTGAGGCATTATGCTCACCCTCCCCTCATCCTCCTGCAGTCCCTTTGGGGTCGACAGGCAGGGAAGGCAGCACAGCTTCCCCTCCCCAGAGAGCTGTAACAGGCCTTTAGTCGTGCGTGCTGTGACAGCAGCATCCCTGTGGCTCTCCCCTCCTCCTCCTGCACCTGCTCCGAGCTCTGAGCAGAGAGAGCAGGAGGCTCCAGCCCACGCTCCTGCAGTCTCTTCCCTGGGTTTGTTAGATTAGTGCCAATGAAAAGCCATGGCTGGAATGGCCACCTGCATGCTCCTCCAGGCCCCTGGGGTGCAGAGTGCCAGGGAATACTGCGAGCTTGGCCTGATAAATGAGCTGATTTCAGGTCCATGAACGAATTGGTTTCCCCTTCCAGGAAGGCTTGCAACTGTCAGCTGACTATTGCTTTATTTATTGCATTGACCTTTGCAGCTAAGGGACTCTTGAGGGCAGAGAGAATGGGTTCCAATGACAGGAAGGTATTTGAACCCTTCCTTCAGCTGCAGCTGAGTGCCTCACCTTTGGGAACCAGACACTGCTCTGGAAGCCTGATGTGATTCTGCTATGTGCTTCAAGACATGGGGATCTGAACCCAGACCAGGCAACAAATGGGCAAGAAGACAGCAAAGATCCAGGCCATAGAATAGAGCAACTGAGAAATTATCTCGTTCCTAAATGTGGTGTTTGGTGCCAGACACAGTCATAACTTTTGTGTTCCAGCAGTGCCCACTCTCCACCACTGCAGACACACTGGGGAGAGGCCAGGAACCTCTTTCTTGAATGATAAAACCTCTCCCACTGCCTGTTGTTTGTGCAGCTTTAATCACAAAAAGATGGAGATGGTCTCATGTGATCATGGAAGCATATTCTGATGTACTTCTGAACCCACTCTGCATATCTGCTGGAGCCACACTAACTGTGAGACAAAATCCCCAGAGAGCCAGGCATTTGCAAGAGTTACTGCCTGCAGAAATTCCTGCTAGAGCATCCCCACCCTACCAGCTTCCCATGGAAGATAGATCTACCCTCACTGTGAAGTGGTAGAAACCCACTGAGTCCACATGCAACTCCATGCAGGAGAGCATCAAGGAAGACCACATCTAAAGGGGTGAGTCAGCCAACAGAGAGAAAGTGGTAAGAGGAAAGAATTATCAGAAATGTTTATTGTTGACCTTCACCCTTTCCTGTACAGGGTGATAAGCATTTAAGGGTTGGCAAAAAAAAAAACCCAAACCATAATTGGGGCCTTCTTAAAGGCCAGACAGCCAATGAACATGGAATAGGAACAGTAGGAATGGAGAACAAGCCTGGTGCTGTATGTTGAGCTCTATCCAGTTACTAAAAAGAGCAAATTTTATCATCACAGAGTTATTTTACTACTTTTGGGGAAGGAGATGGTGCTATAGCCTATGGTGGGAAGGTAATCAGCAGGGTCTGCAAAGGGGCTGGAGGTCAGACTAACACAGGGAAAGCAGCAGAGGGAATGTAAGGAAAGGGAAAGGCACTAGGTAGGGAAGATAGAGAAACCTGGAAAAGAGGTGCCTGATATTGAGAGCTGCTATAGCGGAACCCAGAGAGAACTTGTTTGGATTTAGAGATCTAGTCCTACTGTGGGCACTGAGCATAAGTGCTTTGATGTGTTCCCTCCCTCCCAGCTGGGAAGAGACCCCCAGCCTTGCCCAGGCTAGACAAACAGGTTTTGTCTGCTGTGCCTGTCAGCAGGGCCACAGGTTTGGGGCTGGCGAGCCTGAGCACAAACTCCCTCCAAAGTCAGCCCCCTCATGAAGTAACAGTCACTTTATTACTGCCTTTTAATCCCAGGACAGATTCTCAGCAGCCTGGTTACTGCTTACATCCCTGTGGGCCTGCCCAGAAGCTGCTCCCTGGCTCAGCACATCTTCCCTCCTTTGGTAGGAGCACTGTCACACTTGTGACCCCATTCAGCAGACCACAGCCCATTCCAAAGGAAACTGCAGGCAAAACCACATTTATTAGAAGCAGCAGTTTGGTCAGAGCAGATGGCCCCAGCATGCAGACCTGGCTGCACTGCCTCTGCTGTCTGCCTGGCTTTTGGGCTAGTGAGCCACCAGGTTTGGTCCTGCCTCACACCCACAGCACGGGATTCACCTGCTGCCTGCCTGTCAGCCCCAGCACATCTCACATCTCAGGTACCAGCCCTCTGTTCCTCTTGAGCAGCCAAGTGTGCTTTCTCCGTTTGCTCTTCTCCCACTTTTCCCTCTCCTGGAGCAAATCGGCCGTGGGTCATTTGGCAAGTCCCTGTGATTTGTCTGCTCACTAGAGCCTGGTGCTTCACTGCTCTGTCTCAGCCCCAGAGTGGCTGGGAAGGGTTTGACAGAATCCATTACACAGGGCTAACACAGCAATTCCGATAAACTAGCAAGATCAGTTTAAAAGGAAATAGATAATGTTTCATCTGTGGTGCGTGGAAGGCAGCTCGACCAAAGGGAGGGTGAGAAACAAGGAGGTTACAAAGTTCTCCAAGGAAAATCCATTTCTAGAAATTGCTAGATTGTTACTTTTCCCCATAAGACTCTGTGACTCAGAAAAGATTTTTTTTCTCTCTTTCAGTGAGGGAATCCAGCATTTTCTTTCAAATAGGCATGGAAGTGATGGCATCTTTTCCCTCAAGAGCATCCAGGGTGGGGTAACTGGCATCAGGAACTGGATGATTTGCAGGCAAAGCTCCATCATGCTGTTTCCAGGAACTGTAATGCTGGTAAGAGGTAGAAGGGGGGAACAGGTTTTTCTGCCTTCTGTTCTTAGTTCTGCCACAGCATCCCCTGGCCAAGTCACCTCCCTGTAGGGCTTTTTTTTTTTTAATGTGCTGAATTAGCATAACAATTTACCTTTCGACTGTCAATTGTTGTTAGGGTCAGGGGAGGACTTGCCCTGAAGCTTCTGGAGAAGGGGCTGGTGGTGAGAAGGGATCTCAGCTCTGCCTCTCACAGGCTTGTGACAGTGGGTGCCAACCCTGCATGGTGGGGACAGTGCAGAGCAGATAGCAGAGCTTAACAGCACCTTCTGCTGGCTCACGAGCCTAACTCACTGCTGGGACAGCTTTTGGGGCAAAGGGAGAAGCATTATTCAGTGCTGACCAGAGATCAGAAGAGGCAGGAATGTACTCCAAGCAGCCAGCAGATCATGAGCCTTTTTCTGAAACCTCACTAGGCAGAGCAGCTCCAGCTCTGACCAGCCTGTTGGTACTTCGTTTTGTCTGTAACACCTTTAAACCCAACATCAGGATTCACTGTGTTGACCTGTACTCCTGGGACTGCTTCAAGAAGTATTGAAACAACACTAGGAGCAAACTCCAGCAGCCTCCAGCAGGCTTCCAGGTAGTCTTATGTGCATTTGCCAGACAGATGATCCCATTGCATAACTGCAGCCTGTGTCCTGGTGTTCCCATCCAGGGAAAGCCAGGCAGGTTGGCATTCCACAGTGAGATGCATCACTGGATGTAGAGATCCAGATCCAAATACCCTGACAGTCTGGAGCTATTTGGGCACACCAGCTGAAGGTCCAAGCCCATATCTAAGTACTAGTGGCCAGAAGTTTTACCTCTTCCCTCTGAATCATCCAGCACTGGCCAGAGGTTTGTGCAAGCTGGTGGCCTCTTCTACCCAACGTTACATCTCAAACAGAATTCAGCTGACTAGGAGAGGCACAGACAGTGCCTACCATTTGTCCTTCTGAAGAGACAGCATGTCACTGAAGAGTCCCAAACCTTTGCATCCTCAGCCTCTGCAGGTCTGGCACATGGAGAGCCCAGAGGCTCTGAAGTATCCCACTCAAGCAGCCAAGTGTTAACAACCTCTCCAAAGTCTAATTTGCCTTTGATATAGACTTAATTGTTTGCGTCACCCACTGGGCTGGGGGAGGGCTATAAAAGGGGCTGCAGCCATTGTCTGAGGCAGAAGAGAGCCCAGGAACAGCTCCCTCTCCCAGTCTTCCTTGTTCAGCACAGTAGTCACAGCCTGTGCATCATGCAGCTGGTGGCCAGCCTGGTGTCCGTGCTGCTGCTGGTGTGGAGCGTGAGAGCCACGGCGCTGCCTGGAGAAGAGAGACTGGCCATACAGAGCACCAGGGTGAGTATAACACACCCTGGGCAGGAGCTGGGCTAGCTGGGAGCACACAGAAGCAGGCTGGATCCAGGGGAGGGGGAAAAAAGGCAATTAGGCTTTACCTGATGCAAACAACTCTTCCACACCTCTCTATTCCAAGGCTTCACACACTACTGAAGCACAGGCTGTCACTACAGCTTGCTAGCCAGTGTTTTAGGAAAGGTACCAGGGCAGATGCCAGGGAGCTGCAAAAGTGAAGTCTGAGCTAAGCAAAATCAGGCAAAATGAATAGCAGAGAGAGCAGAGGGGAAAGGAGGAAATACTGCTGAAAGGGTACGGCGTGAGAGAATAAAGCAGAGTACTAGGGAGGGAGAGAAAAGATACATAATTGGTAAAATGATCAAGGGAGATGATATTTTAAATAGGACTCATGGGAAGGACAAATGTTTAAAAGATGGGTTCAGTAGGAAAGTAACAGAGGAATCATAAATGAAGTAATTATATCAGAATAAAATTGCTTTTTCCAGAGTAGTATTCGCAGGGGGAGTTATACTGACATAGTTCTGCTAGAATAATTACACTCTGAACCAGCACAGCTCAATGCAGTGGCAGAACTTATTATAGCAATATAATTATCCTACCAACTGGCAAAACCCTAATATTATAATGGCTAGAGCACTATAATAACTTTGTTTTGCTGCACCATTTCCCTAAGAGGCCAAAGGGGTAGGAAGCAATAGCATAACATAATCACAAACCTTGTTCTGTTTGCCCTCATCCCGCAGTTCTCTCACCTGCACGTTCCCTGCCATCCCTGATGTTCCTCTGTGCTCTGGTTAGTCACCCACACGCTGCCAGTCCAGCTCAGGGCTGTATCCACCAGACTGCTGTTATTCCAGAGAGGTGAATGATCCCAGTGTTGTTTCCACAGGCACTAACTTCTCCTCTCTGCGTATCCACATCGTGTTTGCTGTCTTAGTGTTGGCTCCAGCTCATCCATCAGTGTCTTGGTGCTCCAGGAGTGGGCTCACATCCCATTAACAACAAAACTGGCTGCAAGGAAGAGCAATACACAGAGTGAGGTGCTGGGGCTGGCGTTCTGTTAGACATCAGGGCTCCTGCAGCTGCCTGGGATTAACCCTTCTGGGGATAACTGCAAACTTTCAGCTCCACATTCTTATAATAACAAACCCAGTTCTTGAAAAGTAAACTCTTTCTAGTGCAAATCCTAGCTGCTGGGGGGGAAAAAAAAAGAAACAAGTTGTAGGGAATAAATCAATATAAATCAGGCTTTGGTAACAATTAATTCTAGTGAAATGACTCTTAGTCTTCTATGCACAGTTGCTTACAAAATAATGATACAATTATAATAGATATCATGATTCTCTTTAGAGCTTTCTACAAGCTGAAAAATTGTTAGATACAGATGAACCATTCCCAACAGACACCACTGCTGTAACTCAGATGTTTGAAGTATGAAAAATATTGGGATTTTACACATAAACCACCACAGAATGCAGAGCAATGCAGAAGAGAGATCTGTGCACTCTGATGGATATAGCACAGGGAACAGAGCAGCTCCCCAGAGGTTTGCCCCAACCCACCGTGCTAAGATCTCTAGCTGCTGCCAAAGAGTCTTGATTTCTTTCAGAGCAGAAAGGATGTGAGCAGTGGATTAGTGCAGGGGAAGAGCTGCCAGGTTTCACTGACAGCCACGGCCGATAGGGCGTAAGGAATATCCCCTAACACAGCCTGAGCTTTGCCTCCCCCATCCCTGAGGCTGGAGCTGCTGGCTCTGCTTGGAGCAGGTTATTTCCAAGCATAGCACTTACTTACAGCTAGGAAAGAAGCTTCCAAGGAAGACATGACCCAGGATACACTTAGCTGGGTCCTCCCGTCCCAGTCCATCTCCCAAAGGCTCAAGACGTTTCTGTACTTGCAGCACAGGAGTAGGAATTGGGACAAGCACAGAGTGGATTTATCTTTTCTCCTATAGCATGGATTTTTTCTGTGCCTCAGTTTCTCTTGCATGGAAGCCTGCTAGTAACTCTAGTAACCTCTAGTAGTTACTAGGGCTAAGAAAGTGGTAAAAAAAATATCCATAGACTTTCTGTAATGTAAACTCCAGATAATTGCTGCTGCCTGTGTTTATCCATCTTTTGAGCTGCTCACCAAGTGGTCCTTAGTGAATGCTGGTGCTGACAGAACTGGTGGGTAGATACAGCATTCCCAGCAGTAAACATAGCATTTGTGAGGAGTGACATGGAAATGTGCTTCCAAGACTCCCATCCACATGGGAAACTGGATCTGTTCCTGTCAAACCATCTATCCCAGCTTAGCCAGTACCAGCTGTCTCTGCTAATGAGCCACAGAGACCAGGAATGCTCAGGTAATTCCTCAGATATTCTGGATGTAAAGTGAAGAGAAACATGATAACTCACAGCTTGTAGTGACAGAAATCCCTCAAGCCTCAAACCACAGGCTCTGCTCTCCTGTGTGCTGCTACAGCAAAGGGATGGAGCTCAGCAGCTCCCATTTCATCCCACTTTCCCCAAGGTCAGGCCATGGAAACACAGGTTCTTGTTCTTGAAATACAACTGCCTCTCTCCATGGATTCAATATTTTGTGTCAGATATTTGGGGCATCCCTCTGCCCCAACCCAGCCCTATCCTTGTTGCACTTAATCCTCAGCATTTTACAGTGGGGTGCAGCCTGCTGTGAGCTTCAGGACTCTGTGCCTCTTCCCTGACCTTCCCAAGGCAGATGCTGGGGCAGTCAGAGCAGCAAAGGGAGTACAGGCTTACTAGGAGAGGAGGCAGCTTGGCATTCACTGAAATTTAATTAGTGCCAGCAGCAAGGGACTTCACAGCCCATTCCAGCCTATTTGTTAGCAGCTCTTTTCCAGCTATAGCACAGCACGTGAGTGTCCAAATAGCTGAGCTGGACAGGGATGGGAGATGGGAGCAGTGGCTGTGGCAGACACAGATCCCTCAGCTCTGCTGATGGGAAAAGCATTGGCTCCAAGGGTGGGACACGAGGGGTGACAGGGGAATGAGAAGGGAGCCCATGGGGGATGTTAACCCTGCAAATTTCAGCAGCCACGGGGGACAGGACCTCCATCCATGGCTTTCCCTGCTCTCTGCCCGCAGGAACAGAGCACAGTCAGGAAGGATGCCATCCTGAAGATGCTGGCAGGCCTGCTGGACAGCGTGGACGTGGGGCGTGAGGCAGCCTCCCCTGACCTGGAGGAGGAGGGCAAGCTGGAGGAGGAGAGGGCAGTGCTGGGGCGGCTGGCCCAGCTCTCACAGCGCGACCGCAAGGCACCCTGCAAGAACTTCTTCTGGAAAACCTTCACCTCCTGCTAGTGCCACCCAGTCTGGCCCTGCCAGCCCTCAAACGTCCTCCCCACTCCTCATCTATCTGCCCTGTCCCCCAGCTCCTTTCCTGTCCCTGCCACCCCTCGGAATAAAGCATGGCTCCTTGGGGACTTGTCTCTGCCTCTCTGCCCTGGGCTGGGGTGGTGTGGGGAAGGATCTGCTCAGCCGGGAGGGGAGGAGGGAGGAGACTCTTGGCGGGAGCTGCGGCACAGCTCTGCTTCACCTGCTCCCTCAGCCTCTGGGAGGGCAGTGGGTGGCTGGGGCTGTGCCTCAGGGTGAGGGTCCTCAGTGCCAGCCCTGGGTAGGATAAGGTGGAGGTCACGGTGTGGAGTGGACAGTTTGGTCCTGGCACAAGGGAGAGCAGTTCCTGGTGCTCCTTTCCATGCTGTTTGTGACTGGGGATGGCTGAGAGAAGTGCCCAGGCTGTGCTGCCCAGGTATGGCTGCAGGGGCAGTGTCTGTGGGGACTGGGGAGGGGAGACTTGCCCAGAGCCTGTGCCACTTTTGGTTTGCCACAGGTATCTCCAGAGCAGTTCCTGAGGTGCTTTTGGGCTGCATCTGGAATAAATGAGGTGTAATCCCAGGTCCAACAGCTCTGGCTCTCTCATGGTGTCCTCTCATCTTGCTTTAACAAAGCTAAACACCTGAGTTTGCTTCCTAAGCTTCCTGGGTGCCATTTGCAGACTGGAGAGTGGTGAGGCCTGTTGTTTTATTTCTTTTGGCTTGTTGAGAAGCATTTTGAACCTTGTTTTTAGAAGTGATAGGTACTGCAGGGCTGTGGAAGGAAGGTATGTTTGAGTTCACAGCTATCTCCCTCTAAAGAAGGTTGCTGAGGCCTTGGTCTCTCCTGCTGGCAAAAAGAAAAGGTATGAAATTCATTTACTCTGTTTGCTTTAATTCTTAGTGCTATCAAGCTGAATTTCAGAGCTGTATTACATTGCTGTGAGTAGCCACACTAAACAGGCTTCAGTTGTGTATAACTGAGCCTGTCACCAAGACCTGATGAGAATAAAAGTAGTTGTTTGTAGTTTTGAGCCTTTCCATTTTGTTTTTGGAGACCTGTGGCCATGAGGTCACTTCTCTCAACTACAGCATTTTGGATTAGTCAGCAACCTGACTGATTTCTGACAGTTGAGGTAACACTTCCCACTCTCCCAGTAATGAGTGATACCACCACTCCAGCACCTGGATGTGCTGCCTGGCTGCTCCACTTTGCTCCGTGTCAGACTGCATTTTCACTGCCTCTTTTGCCATAGAAATTTCTGGCTGTGTGTCTCTGGCTTGCAGGAGGAGTCAGAGCCCTGTGGCTTGTTTTATTTTTCACTCCAAAATGAAAAATAAGATCCTTGCTGGGGGAACTCGGCGACTCAGTCTATGGGTAATGGGATATGGAGCTTTCCAGCTGTGTTGCCTCAAGCACCCAGCTAGGACACAGGAGAGCTGGGTTTATGCCTCATGTTGCTGCTGGCATTTGCATTTTGTCATTACCTCCTTTTCAATACCTCAGTTTCCCTGTCTTTAAAACGGGGTGAAAGCTCTTGTCAACCCACCTATCTTAAGAACAATTATAAGCAGAGACAAGTGCTATGTAAGAGTTAATTATAGCCATTATTATCTAAGACCTGTGTAGCAGTATGGGACCAACCAAGATGCTAAGACCTTAGAAGTGTTCTTATAGGAATTGCCTTGTTGCTCACCATTAAATCTCATCTGTGATCACAATGTTCAAGACAACGTGTAGTGAAAATGAGAAACCCCAGAGCACATGGACACAGGGATTGCCCCTGACAGAGCCTGCCTGTTCAGCAAGCTGTGTGCTGTATTATTTAGTGGTTCCTGGAGGAGAGAAGAGTCTGGCTACTCTCAAGGCTGGAAGTAAATTTGGAAGTTGAGCTGCTCTTTCATCCCCACAGATGGTTCCTGCTAGAGCAGGCTGAGATGCTCTGGCTGAGCACCAAGGGAAGTGTGAGTCGCCAGCACACGTGCTGTGGACAGGGGCCAGCACAGTTGGGGCAGCTTCTTTCAGCAGTGCTGAAATCAGTGTTTGAGTTGAATTTGATTGTGCAGTTTCCTCAGCAAGTGCTGAGGCTGAAGGGATGTGAGATCCTGCCTGATGGTGGCATTTGGTGTTAGGGAGTGTGGCAGGAGAAATCGCTGGGAGTGGCTTAGTGAAGGGTGATAAATATGTGTGGGATCTGGACATTTCCTGTTTAAAGTTTCACAAAAGAATTGTGAATTTATAACTGCATATTTCAAACAGAAGGTAGGAAGAGGATGGTATTCCTTTTTTAGATGCAATAACTGATGTGCTTTACAGTCTTGTCACAGCTCTGAATAATGTGTATGTGCATGAGCAAGTGCAAAATACCTAGGAGTTCTCTCCAGATTTTTTAAAACTGTGGAAAAGACACATTAAAAAGTCAAAATACACCAGAAGGCAAACTTTTAAAGTCAGTTAGCACACACAGTGCTGACCTCACCTAATCTAATGTGTGGTCCAGTGGTATTCACTGCATTTTTAAATTTTTTTTGATGCTTCTAACCTCAAGCTATGCAGACAAGCAAAGAAATTACCATGGGGACAAGCTCAGCTGTGAACCTAAGCATCTTCAGAACCCAGGGGTAACTCAGTGGGTTCTGAAGATCAGAAGTAGTCCAAGGTAGCTTATACCTCGATGAGAACTGAGCAGATCTCATTCACTCTGACATCATAGCGTGGGCAGATGGGGCAGAGGAATTAGGGAGGTATTAATCTGAAATTTAGTTCCCTCCACGGTGACTTGTTTGTGCCTTTATACTGAAGATCTTGTTTTAATATAGTGTGTGTTTTCAGCTGCAGACAAAAGAGAGAGAAGTGCAGTCTGACCAGACTTCCAAAGATCCTGTCTGTCTGCAGCTAGCCACAAATGGAGTTAATTTTAGTGGGAACACAACAGCACTGCCTGTCTGGTGGTCCTGGGCCTGTCATTCCCAAGCAATGCGTGGCCTGTGAGGCACCTTTGGCATTGATTGCAGCTACAGCAAATTGAGGTTAAGCCTAGTATTGCAGCAAGAATGAAGCATAAGGTTGCACAGAGTGTCTTTTGTCTTCTGTTGTTATTATATTTGGCTCTGCTCAGAAACATTAAACGTGTGTTTGAAAAGCAGTCAGTCCATTTATTTAAAAGAAAATCTGTTTTGGAGGCTGATGGCAATGAGCAGTCAGATACACACTGGGAAAAGAGTAACTGGGTTTACACTGAAGGGGATTTTTTTTTCTCTGCTGCTGAGTGAATTCTGCTGTTGCTCTTGGTCATAGATTAAAGCAGTGGCTCACAGAACGTGTTTCTACAGGATGCTGGTTTTTGTTGTCATTCATCTGAGAAGTTGGTGGTTTAGTCACAGCAAACTTGACAACATCCCTGTGACAAGGAAGTGCTACTTTTATGTCTCTTTCCTGCCAGTTTGGGCTACAGATTTGCCTTGTGTCTTGGGCTTGGTGGTGGGAGATGCTGATCCAAGAGACATGACTCTGTGTCTTGTTCTATGATGATGCCACGTGAGCCTCTGCCCATGGCTCTGCTGACCTTCCTGCCACACAGGGCTCAGTTGAGTGGAAGAATAACACAGATCAAATAAGGCATTTGTTCACTACTTGTTACTCTCTGTAGTTTATTCAGTGACCTTGTTCTCTGAGTTCTGAAAGCCTCTTACCTGTCAATTGGGCTTGGAAGATTGAACTTCAGCTGCTTCTCTGAGCTCCTGTATTCACAAAACCCTCAGCAGCAGCTGCAGGTTGTAAAAGCCTTTTATATTCCATGAATACTGCTCAGTGAAAGGAGCTGTTACCTTGACCATTCAGAATGTGCAGAGGCTTCATGTAAGATGGGCAACACAGGAAATCCTGAGCACAAATGACCTGGTGAATTTTGAGGATGTCTGACACAGTGGATTTTTCCTGTCTTTGCTGCACCCTGATGGAACTTGCAGGGAAA